ACTAAGATTCATTTTCTGGTGGGGACAGTATTAAGCCCCACAAATGTGGGGAAAAATTAGCTAAATAAAAGAAAAAGAATCCACTCTGGACCACAGGAAAATGATCCATTCCAAAAGTAGGGAGGCTGGGTGGACCTAAATAAAAAATAATAAAACAAATAATAATTTGTGAGTGTGTGTGAGAGAATGTGTATGTGTCTGTCAGTGAATGTGTGTGTGTCAGTATGTGTCAAATCAGTGAGAGTGTGTGTGTAAATGAATGTTTCTTACAGTGTGTCTCAAATCCATGAGTGTCTGTCAGTGAGTTTGTGTCTGTCAGTGAATGTGTGTGTTTGTCAGTGAGTGTATCTGTCAGTGTGTCAAATAAGTGAGAATGTGTCTGTCAATACATTTGTGTATCAGAGTCCTCTATATGTAAGTGTGTGTCAGTGTCCTCTGTGTGTAAATGTGTGTGTGTGTGTCAGTGCTTGTCCAGTGGTGGAACTACCACTGTGTATTCTGTGTGTGTGGGTCATTGTGTGTGTGTGTAGGTCACTGTGTGTATGTCACTGTGTGTTTATGGGTTACTGAGTGTGTGTATGTGTGGCTCACTGTGTGTGTGTTTGTGTGTGGGTCACTGTGTGTGTTTATGGGTCACTGAGTGTGTGCATTTGTGTATTGTTTGTGTCTTGTGTTTGGTTATCTGTCAGTGTGTATGTATACGTGTACCTGTGTCAGTATGTGTGTATCTGTTTATCATTATGTATGTATGTATGTATGTATGTATGTATGTATGTATGTATCTATCTATCTATCTGTGTCAGTATGGGTATGTATCTATGTGTGAGTCAGTGTGCATGTGTATATTTGTCAGTATGTGAGTGTATTTGTTTATAGCTCAGTGTGTATATGCATCTGTGTCAGTATGTGAGCATATCTGTGTGTGTTAGTGTGTATGTACATCTGTACATGTGTCAGTGTTTGTATCTGTGTCAGTATATGTGTGTATCTGTGTGTGGCAGTGTGTGTGCATATGCCAACACAACCAGAAATTCAAAGACCAACTCAATACACAAAGACACACCTGCATTCAAATGCCAACACTACACACAAATGCACACCTACATTAAAATGCCAACACTACACACAAATGCACAACTGCATGCAAATGCCAACACTACATATAAACACATCACTACATTCAAATGATAACAATACATGCACATACACTACTACATTTAAAAACACACATAATCCATGCAAAAACATACTTACATTCAAGCACACATAGACTGCTCACAAATATGACCCTGCAAGGGAGGGAAAATGGCAGATCTCCAGCTGGCAAAGCATTGTGGGAGTTGCCAGATAGTTAGTGTAACGGACCGTTTTGCACAAAAGGAGAAAAAAACGTTTAGGCGATCGGCCCCCTTTCCAGAGATGCAGGCACAGCTACTGCAGAACACCAAACTCCTGAACTGGATACAAAATAGCACTCCAACTCCCGAACTGGAACCTCCCAAATAGCTGCTAGTAGACGAACAGGAAAAGCACCCAAGCGGCTTACACTCCTGGCAATCAGTCTCTAACAGCATACAGTGAATCCCCCCAAGAACGAGACAAGGCTCCGTGTTGAGGGTCAAGCAGTGGTCTGAGGTGCTGGCACACCCAGCCTGGTTTTTATTACAGTCTTGCAAATACAGGACCGCCCACAGGGAGGTATAAAACAACCAATCACATCACAGTTACATCCCACATATTCCCTCCCCTTATCCTGAGAGGAAACTCAATTACACATACAGTTAAAACATACTTTCTACCCAACTTTCATAACTCTAAAACCATACATCACATTCACATAAAATTACACATTCACAATCAATCCATTCAGGGGAACAACATATTAAAAAATGGCCTGAATCAGACCAGGGGTTCAAAAGTTAGTAAAAAGTCCTTTGTGACTAAATGAAGCATGGCTTTCTGGCCCAAACCAGTTTCAGAGTCTTCTATCCTGGAGATAAGTAATTCAATTATCTCCCAGGACAGACACAAGACTCCATTAAGCACATGGTTGCAAAAAGACACAAAACACTTTAAAATACATAAAGTAACCTTTTATACATAAAACACAGACATTTCACATATCCCCAGATAGCTCAGGTCTGAGCGCACATTATTAAGTGAATGGCGCTCAGACCACACGAATACAGTTTAATCGCCATGGAGCCAAAGTCTTTACAGTCAGTTTCATACAAATGGTCTCCATGGGATTCCTATCTGGGGTATAACACATTCAAACAAATCTACCGAACCCCAGGCAGAAAAGCACGAATTAAACTTTTCTGCAGGTAAAAAAAAAGATGTCTTTTAACAGGGGGCCATAGTCCAAAGGCAGCAGGTGAGCAACCAGGCTTCTCCAATGCAATGTGGCGAGATTGGTCTCGTCACAGTTAGTATCTACCTTTTAGCCATCCTTGTGCTAAAGTGGGCCCAACCAAATTTTTGTCTCTACATTAGTTCCGCCACCGGTCACCTCTGTGTAAATGTGTGTGTCTGTCAGTGAGTGTGTGTGTGTCAGTGAATGTTCTTGTGTCTGTCAGTGTGTGTCAGATCAGTGGTGTGTCTATCAGTGAGTATGTGTATGTGTGTGTGTGTGTGTGTCAGTGAATGTGTGTGTGTCAGTAAGTATGTTTGTCAGTGTCTGTTGAATCAGTGAGAGTGTGTCTGTCCATCAGTGTGTAAGTGTGTGTGTTAGTTTCCTCTGTGTGTAAATGAGTTTGTCGGTGTCCGCTGTGTGTATGTGTGTGCGCATCCATGTCCTCTGTGAGTAAATGTGTGTGTGCCAGTGTCCTCCGTAAGAAAATGTGTGTGTGCCAGTGTCCTCTATTTGTAACTATTATGTGTGTATTTTAATTTTGTGACTTTTAAACTTCAGATTAATAGTTCACATTACGTCATATTTAAAAAAATATTCTTTGCTACCTTTTATCAGGCTTGTTCTCCAATATGGGATTAACTTGAATATCAGTGTCTAGACAATTTTTTTTTTTTAGACACGCAGGGGTACTTCTCCGTAAAAGGTTGAGAAGTACTGCTCTCGAGGACATAGCTAGGATTTATAAATTGATGTTTTGATTGAACTTTTCTCTTTTGAAGTGGTTCAGTTGCTGCTGCTGCTTGGCTAAATTGTATCAAGATTGAAACATTGTTTTTGGCTGCAAATGCTAAAATACTACACTGGGCAGATGCTCCTAATAAAATATGCTATGATAAGAAATTATCGCCTACTGTAAAGTATCCTGCTAGAGAGTGAGCTTCTGTATGTAAGTGCATCTGCTAGTGAGTGAACTTCTGTGTGTGTGTGCATCTGCTAGTGAAGGAGGTTGTGTGTGCCTGCTTGTGTGTGTGTGTACCTGCTAGTGAGTGAGCTTGTGTGTGTGTGCTAGTGAGTGAGCTTGTGTGTGTGTGCATGTGCCTGCTAGTGAGTGAGGGTGTGTGTCTGCTAGTGAGTGAGCTTGTGTGTGTGTGTATGCTAGTGAGTGAGCTTGTGTGTGTATGTGCCTGCTAGTGAATGAGGGTGTGTGTCTGCTAGTGAGTGAGCTTGTGTGTGTGTGTGTGCTAGTGAGGGAACACATCTGTGTGTGTGTCTGTGTGTGTGTGCTAGTGAGGGAGCTTCTGTGTGTGTGCTAGTGAGGGAGCTTCTGTCTGTGTGCGTCTGCTAGTGAGTGAGCTTCTGTGTGTGTGTGCTAGTGAGGGAGATTCTGTGTGTGTGTGCTAGTGAGGGAGCTTCTGTGTGTGTGCGTCTGCTGAGTGAGTTTGTGTGTGTGTGCCTGCTAGTGAGTGAGTTTGTGTGTGTGTGCCTGCTAGTTAATGAGCTTGTGTCTGTAAGTAAGTGAACTTGCATGTTTGTCATTGAGCTTGTCTGTGATGAGCATGTGTGTGCAGTGAGCTTGTCTGTAGAGATCGTGTGTGTGTTAGTGAGCTTGTCTGTGATGAGCATGCATATGTCTGAGCTTGTCTGTAGTGAGCATGTGTGTATCAGTGAGCTTGTTTCTAGTTAGCATGTGTGTGTCAGTGAGCTTGTCTGTAGTGAATCTGTGTGTTAATGAGCTCTTCTGTAGGGAGCATGTGTTTGTCAATGGGCTTGTCTGTAGGGAGAGTGTGTGCACCTCAGTGAACTTGTCTGTAGTGAGCATGTGTTTGTGACAGTGAGCTTGTCTGTAGTAAGCTTGTGTGTGTATCAGAGTTTGTCTGTACTAAATTTGTGTGTGTGTCCCAGTAAGCTTGTGTATTTGTTGTATTGAGTTTGTCTGTCAGTGAGCCTATTTGTGTGCATCAGAGCTTGTGTTTTTATGTCAATAAGCTTTTGTATATCAATGAGATTGTCTGTGAGCCTGTGTATCAATGAGCTTGTGTCAATAAGATTGTCTGTGTCTGCATATGAGTATGCTTTACTGTATAATTTAATTACCCTGAAAGGACTTATATATGTGTATATATATATATATGTATTAAACACACACTACATAGCACAATGACTTATGGGGCTGGCATAGATTTGTTTCCAGGGCTACTTTGTACCCCCAGTCCGGCCCTGATCATTGTCTATGTGCCTTAAATATCACTTTAAGATACATTATAATATAAATGCAAAACCTAAACATTTATTCTGTAAGATGAACTCTGTAATTCCAAGTAAATTTGTGAATCAAGATCATGGTGATTGTATCTCAAGGTCATAAAAATTTATTAAAAAGTGTTACCCAAAAAGCCTTGGTCTTCAAGAAAACACTTGAAAACGGATAGACTGCACTCCAAAACACCTTGCACCATAACTACTATAATAGCTTCTAATGTTATGGTTCTTAGAATGTCCCTGTAAAGAAACAATCCATTTCGTCCACTCATCAAAAAATTAAGCTACGCAAAACACTAACACATATTAAGTTTATGAACTGGCCTTTCTTACATCAATTTTTATACATGGTACTCAGCCGGATCAGACCTTTTCCGTGGTCATGTTAAATTGCCACAATACATATTATAAAACGTTCCAATTTCGGAGCATCCCCCCACCCTCGCTTAGTTGAAGACCAGCAGCCTGTGTGTTGCCTCATATAACTCATGATTCTTTGCAACTTCATTATCTTTTTGATGACCCAGTAATTTCCTCTATCATCTTTTATCTTTTTGTTTATACATTTTTTTGCTGAGTTCTTCACTTTCTCCTCACTATAAAACAGTGTCGCCTTCTGCAAATTACACAAGAACACAGTTAATGGAAAATGCACTTTTTATTGAGTACTTCCTGGTGTTTTAGCTACATGAAATATTCTAGTGCAGACCGAGATAATCTACTTTTAGATTTTTATGGTATTTAAAGTGAACCTGTAATGGAAAAAAAATACCTTAATATCTTCCATATACGTTAAATACACCTTTTATCATAAAGATGCACGGTGCATTCAATGTAAAATATAATGATTAACTTACTTTTCCTCAGTTCCAGTGCCGCTTTATGGGTGTTACCAGCAGTGTATTTACCTTGAGGCTGACAAGGCATTTTCCTTGGGCGGCACTTTCAGGAGGTGGGAAAAAAAAGCCACTCCCCAATCGCCCTGGCAAATGCCTTGCCACCCTCTTGCTCGGGGGGGCCTAAGGTGGCCAGCCGAAGCTGGCATGCACTGATGTTGCGGGTGGCGAGGGAGCACTCTCCCCATAGCTCTTCCTAGCTCAGCTCCCTCGCGCGCACCTCAGTGATGCCGGAGCCGGAATATGATGTCACTTCGGCCTCAGCAGAGGTGTGCAAGGGAGCTGTGCAGGAGGATCAAAGCTCCCTCTCAACCTGCCTCCACTGCTCACCTGTCTGCCAGACCGCCCGCCTGCCAAGCTGCAGCCTGCCTCACTGGACCACAGGAAAAAATCCACTCCAGCACTCCCAAAGGTAGGAGGCTTGGTAGATTGATAATTAATTGTGAGTGTGTATGTTAGTGAATGTTAGTGTATCTGTTAGTGAGAATGTGTGTGTGTCTGTGAGTTTTAGTGTATCTGTTTGTGAGTGTTAGTGTGTCTGTTAATGAGAGCGTGTGTGTGTGTATGTGAGTTTTAGTGTATCTGTTTGTGAGTGTTAGTGTGTCTGTTAATGAGAGCGTGTGTGTGTGTATGTGAGTTTTAGTGTATCTGTTAGTGAGTGTTAGTGTGTCTGTTAGTGAGTGTTAGTGTGTGTCCGTGAGTGTTAGTGTGTCTGTTAGTGAAAGTGTGTGTGTCTGAGTTTTAGTGTGTCTGTTAGTGAGTGTTAGTTTGTGTCTGTTAGTGAGTGTTACTGTGTGTCTGTTAGAGTGTGTATGTGTTAGTGAGTGTGTCTGTCTGTCACTGAGAGTGTTTATGTGTTTGTCACTGAGAGTGTATACGTGTTTGTCAGTGAGTGTGTGTGTGTGTATGTAAATGTGTATGTTGCAGTGAAAGTATGTGTTGGTTAAACAATGTGTGTGCCAATGACTGTGTATCTGTAAGTGTATGTCAGTGCATGCATCAGTGAGGGCGTTTGTCTGTCAAGAAGAGAAATTTAAAAGGGGGGGTGCCTGAGTTTTGTCATGCCTAGGGCAGCACAAAATCAGAATACACCACTGGGTGTTACTCACCTCCTGGCCGTTCGACACTCCACTTGCACTCCGACTCAGTTCTTCTTTGATTTTCCCTGCTTGGACAAATCTTGTAACTGATGTCGGCATGCTGGCTTTGTGGACACCATCCTGGCGTCAGAATGTAGTGACATCACCTGGAGTTTCCATAGAAACCGCAGCGCATTTTTACACGTGAACATTCTATATGAAGAAGCATGGAATAAAGTATCTTGTCTCTCTATTAGAACTGAAGATTGGAAGTCAGGAAGTCTGGTAAAAGTTACAATATATTTATAGTTTCTCCAAGTTACGCAGAACTTTTAATCATATATTACGAAAAATGTAAATGGAATGAAAAAATTGAAGAATGGAAAAAAAGGTTAAGAGGCAAGTCAACAATTATACACTAAAGTATGGTGTAATTCCATAAAAGGAACATTGCAAGCACCATAACCACTATGGCATGCTGTAGTGCTTATGGTGCCAGAAGTGGCCCTTCCCTATTATAAGCAGTCAAACCATGCATCCACTACATCCTGCTTAGGAGCTTCTGTTAGCACAGATAGAGAGCTTCCATTCCAAAAAAGGTATAAAACAGTGCAACATACATTTAATGAGGGACATATAGCAGGTACAAACATTTTGAGTATTTAATCCTTTGTCAATGCGTTATGTCAAGGACAGTGCTATACTCATTTGTTTTTTGTATTTTGGGTTGTACTTTTTGTCCACTGTGGTGAAGAGTATTGGAAGAATGGATTGAGCATTCTTTTCTTTTATAGAAACTGCAGTATCCTATGGCTTGTGGCTGATCTGGTGTTATTCTAGCAGATGACCTCCTAGAAAAGTATTTGCAGCATTTTTCCTCCCCACTTGGTGGTTAGCTGAGTGTTCAACTAGTCACCCAACTTTAGAGTAGCTGGGCTTCGAACACTGCAAGGTGAGACACTCATCTAGAACCTCTGTTTTTGGGATTCGCCAGTCGTGTAACTTGGGGTACGAGTCTGTGACAGGTAACTCTGTGATCAAATCCAACCACTACTGAAAAATAGTTTCCCTTGTATAGATAAAAGATGAAGCAACTAACAGACAGGTAATTGATGCACAGGTCTGTAGGTAGTAGTTTTACGCTTATGTAAAGAAGGCCACTAAAACTTGGTAATGGTGGATATAATTTTAGTAATGTCCAAATGACCAACTGCCTTACTGTCATGGAATAAAAACAGAGTATCTTCTTTCTGTGAATGTGATCCAAATTTTTTCTGTTTGTCATCTTGAGTAACTACTTGAGTAGCTTGAATTTTCTCCAGTAATGAGAAAGATGTGAGATGTTTGACATTACCAATGTGTAAAAAAGTTTTTATGATCAGTAACAATCTTTGACCCTATATCCATTATATTAATTTTGTAATTGTGAGAACAATGTCACTCAGTTGTCTGTTCCCTATATCAAAGTTCTGTTCTGTCTTTAAAGGGACACTATAGTCACCAGAACAACCACAGCTTATTGAATTTGTTCTGGTGAGTAGAATAATTACCTTCAGGCCTTTTGCTGTAAACACTGTCTTTTCAGAGAAAATGCAGTGCTTACATTACAGCCTAGTGATAACTTCACTTGCCACTCCTCAGATGGCTGTTAGAGATCCTTCCTGGATCATGGCTGCCTAAAATGCATCCAAACATTCAGTATCTCCTCCCTCTGCATGCAGACACTGAACTTTCCTCATAAAGATGCATTGATTCAATTCATCTCTATGAGGAGATGCTGACTGGCTAGGGCTGTGTTTGAATTGTGCTGGCCCTGCCCCTGATCTGCCTCTTTGTGAGTCTCAGCCAATCCTATGGGGAAGCATTGTGATTGGATCAGGCTACCACTTATGCTGATGTCAGCAGGCCGTGGGCAGGTCAAAAGGAAACAGGGACAAAGCCTGCAGCTTCAGGCTTGAATACAAGTCAGATTTTACTATATTTAGGAAGGCATGAGGGTGACAGGGGGCTAGATGGCGGTTTTAACCCTATAGGGTCAGGAATAAATGTTTGTGTTCCTGATCCTATAGTGCTCCTTTAATAGTTCAAGAGTAGAACTCATAGATGTTACTTTATGCCTTCTTTGTAATAGATTGGAACACACCCATTGTCTACGTATCTATGTCAAGGGCAAAGGGACGACTATGGTTGATATGCACTGAAACAGAAGCAGAAGAAAAATAAAATTTCAAAGTATCTAATAGCTGCATAGGTCCAAACGTTTTTGTTGTGTTTCTTCTCCAAATTAGTTATGGGTGCATCAATAGAGGAGAAATATTTGACAAATGACCACTTTAACCTCTCTGGCGATCTGATTATGTCAGTATTTTTAAATGTTAAAGCAGTACATTGTTTTGTATGGAAATTTGTTGGCTTGTAATTCACTTAAATCTTTCCAAACAAGAGTTTAGTAGACATCCCGAGTATGATAAAGTTTGAAACAAGAATTTATAAATTATAATATACTAAATAATTATAAAAAATAATAATATAATAATATGTTTAATTAATAATGTAATAAAACCAAAAACACTGAAATTTGTCCAAACAAGGGTGCAATATTGCATGTCACTGTAAAACTAGACACTGCATATTGGTTTAGTAAATATTCCGGATATGAAAAATTTTGAAACATGGAACTGCACAAAGTCCGGCGTCACAATCAGGACAATTAGAGACAAACCACGCACATCTTTGTAGGTACTGACTTTTTCTCAGTTGGTGGGATGTAGTCCATGAAGTGATGACCAATCAGGCATTCCAGGTTGACAACGCCAACAGCACAACGTCCAGCTCTATTCACAGCCATTGATGGTGTTTGGTGGTTCACAAAGATACGTTTGGCAACTTTCCAAATGAAGTCAGAATAATCACAGGCTTGTCACTCTTTTTTTTTTAACAGAATGTAGGCATTCCACAAGCATTGCTCAAGAGGATGCCTGAAGATCTTCTTGTAGTACTTCTTTTGCTGTTTCCTCATTGCTGGGTAGAATGTCATTGCTTGGTCGGCTCTGTCGACCACTTCCCATGGTGTTTTTGTAATTTATCACTACTTGTGGCTTCATGATTTCTTTCCCACCTTTTGTGCGTACCATAACAGTGGAGGTATTATGAACTGTACTCATTAGGCACACATCTATCTTGTCACACCATCGCAGTGCCATAATTTTGCCTTTTTGCCAGGCAACCATTTCTCCAGTCTTCAGCTTCTTATTGCCAAACACTGCTGGCATGTCGCGCTAAGTTAGACCTAATGGTTCCATAGGCATCTGTTTTGCAGAAGAAACTCAAAGTTCAGTAGACGTATAAAAGTTGGTGCTTGTTACGCAATAGCCCAGATTTAGCAATGGCTCAATGAGTGAAAGAACAGAAGATGTTGCCATTCCATAGTTGTTGTATTTTGGATTGAATTTTGTTCTTTTTCCAGTGTAAATGACTGAATTCCAAATGTAGCCAGATGACGATTCGCATAGCTTGTAGGATTTTATGCCAAATGACCGTAACAAAGAACGGAGTGGCAAGTAATTTATTAGTTGTCCAATACCACTTCTACAGGAGTTTCTCCACCACTCCGTGAAGTATCATTAGTTCCAGAAATTTCCAAATGTCATGTTTGGTCACTGGTTCCCACTTTCTGCTTCTTGAAAACTTCCGATGCAGAGTAACTAATTGTTGCTCTTTGTACAGGTTTGTCTCAGTAACTATTTTTTCAATAACCTCATTGGTCAGAAATGATTGTAGTATGCTAAGGGGTTGTTGTGTTCAACATCTACTTTCATACCAGATGCTCCAGCAAATGAGAATCTTGGGGGCGCTGCCTGATCCGTACCACAGTCAATAGAGCCCCAAGTTCGCACATCACTGAACTCTGCTGCAGAATAGGCGCTGTTGTCACTTTCAGTGTCTGATGATGAATTTTCCCATAAATCACTATCGCTCGATTCTGCAAGTGATTCTAATTTACTATTGCTGTTTTCAAGCTGGTCTAAAACCACTTTTGACCTAAAGGAATGCTTTTTGGATGCCATGGACATTCTCAAGTTTCCAGGCAGAAAGAACGGTAAAAGTGCAGGCAGGACACTGGAGAAAGCACTGGGACAAAACTGAGGTGAAAAGGTTTGATACAGTAATGTAATCCTAACAGATTACACTTTATTACAATGTGTTACAATGTATTGTGTGTATGTGTATGTTTACTTTCTTAAATTTCTTGCCTGGTTCCGCCCCCTCTGTGTCGCTGGCTATTGCAGGGAAGGGAACCCGGAAGACGGATGCCGGCATCGGGCGAGGACACCGCGGGAGGACACCAGCGGCTCGTAGGGACAAAGTAAGTGATACTACAGTGTAATCCTGAGCGTGACTCGGGGTTACCGCTTTTGGTACTGAAAACTAACCCTGAGCCATGCTTGGAATTACCACCAAGGAGGTTAATACAGAAGACAGCTTCTGAGGGTTTATTTGCAACCCGATAGACACAGGGAGCTAGAGTTGGTTGCTATTATTCTCATTCAATATGGTGATGGAGAGAGGTTCGCATACATGGTGGACAGGGGTGAGCATACATTGGCTATATATTAAGGGTTGCTTTAGGGGTTTATCATTACTGTGTGATTGGCGCCATGCTAAAAAAAAAAAAAGTAAAATAACTCAATATCTGTTGTAAGAAATTAAACTTGGAATTGTTGATCACTCTGGTACAGCAGGATATCCCTTAGGCAGTTTTTTTTTTTACCTCTCTCTGGTGTTTGCAAAGCAGAAACACTGTGTTTTTGAACAATCGTTTTGACAGTTATCTATTGTTAGGGGCATATCCCCATTACTTCGAAATGCCCAAATCCCTATCAGAAAAAAAGAGATCTCTTAACATTTTGCCTTATAGACATTTTCTCTATGAATGATTCATTTTAGCCTGTTGTCGTGTACCAGTAGGAGAGGAGGTTGAAAGGTTTTGTCATAGCAACAGAGAAGCATTCCTATTCTTTTACGCGCTGTGCTGATTTTTTTGTTGTTTCAGGAACTATCAATGGAGAACATAACTCAATCCGAATACTAATTTAAAAATTGATTGTTGCGGATTCCAGCTCCTAAGGGGTTAAACCCAATCATGTATATAATCGCTAAAGCATAATTTCATTAAAATAATCAGTGAATTTAAATAACAAAATGGAATGTATTCAATCCATATACGCCTACTTTATTTACAAATGATATATGTAATAGTAGGTAGGTGTTTGTACGGAATTGTGCAGATGAAAAGATTATGCAAATTAATTTCTCTGATATATGAAAATGCATTTTAGTAAAAGTAAAAGCATTATATATAAATGTACTACAAAAAAATTAAATAATTATATATATTTTAACACTATTTAATATTCTGGTGTTTGCTTACAAATCACTGTGCAATGCTGCTCCTACCTACATATCTTTCCTAATACACAAGTATGTCCCATGTAGGCCCCTACGCTCTACCGAAGATCTGCGTCTATTACCTGTTCGTACTCGCACCTCTGACGCCCGCCTCCAAGACTTCTCTAGGGCTGCACAGTCCCTGTGGAACTCCCTTTCCTGCTCCGTTAGACTCTCATCCAGTCTCAGGTCCTTCAAAAGATCATAAAAAAACAACAATTCACTTCTTTAGAAAAGCATATCAATTAAACTGCTAATAGCTTTCCTTCCCTGCACCTTGGTAACCCACCCTTCTTCCTCTCCCTCAACTGCGTCATCCCCTACGCTCTGCCGAAGATATGCGTCTATTACCTGTTCGTACTCGCACCTCTGACCCCACTCCATCTAGAATGCTCGTCTGAACAGGGCCCTTAACACCCGCTGTTCCTGTGTGTCCAGCTCATCTTGTTGCAATTACATGTCTGTTAGCCCACCCATTATACAGCGCTACATAATTAGTTGGCGCTATATAAATAATAATTAATAATAATAATAATCTTATATCAAAACTAAGATATGACCCTCACACCCTCCTTACCCCAACCGACTGATCATAATTAAATACTCCCCAAGCATCTACCTACCAACCCATCCAAAATCCCAACCTAGAATGGGAAGACCATACCTTTGCCCTAAGAAGTATTAGAAAGAGAGTTTGTATGACATAATGAAGAAAAAAATAAATAAAGTTAATATTTTTAATGGGGCATGCTCAACTAACAAGCACACTACAGTCACTTTTAAATTGGAAAGTTCTCTTATATTATTTTTACGTTTTCCTGTGGATGGGACGATGGGCCAAAAAAAAAAATGTAATAAAGTCTTTTAATGAATAATAGAAAAATAGCAAAACAGTTTGTCATTTTTAACTTCAATCAGTGGTGTCCTTATTTTCTTCTTTTTTTGTAGTTTTTAAAAACTTTTTATTTATATTATTATTAAGTAATTATATCATACTATTATTAAGCAATAGAACAATTTAGATTAAGGACAGGGCGTTAGAAAGAGAATATTCGAGTTTTGACACAAATAGTAGCAGATGGAATTAGGAGCAGTATATGTACAAACAGTAACAGTTATGAATGAATAAAAATGATGCAGGGCCCTTAAAGGGACACCAGAACCTTAAAGTGGCACTGTCACCCTCCCTCCATTAAAAATGAGTATTTCACACAGGTAGAATCTTTATGAAATACTCATTTTGACTGTGTTGGGATTTCACTGAAATTCCAACCCAGTCAAGAGATAAACAGAGATAAAATAGGGATTACTTTGTATCTGTATTTTTCCTCGGCCTGACCTTGGTATGCTCAGGGCGGAGTCTAAGAGTCAATCTCGACAGTCATCACCAGTGATGGCTGCAGGGAATTGGCTGTGACGATTAACCTCTTGCATGTGCAAGAGTACAGCAGTGACATCGGGGGACTTTGCAAATTCAGCAAAGACTCCAAACGGTGACAGTGCTGCTTCAAAATACTTCAACACTTTAACTTGCTGTACAGCTTTTAATAGAATTGGATCTTTTAAAAATTAATATTGTTATATCCCTCAGCTGTCAATCAGACAACCAGTCCTGTTATGTCCTGGTTATTTAGCTCAGTGAAGAGAAAATCAAGAGGTAGCAATAGCCCAGAGCATCTTCCTCTCAAAGACTCCTCATTAAGATGCATTGGGAAGTCTGTAATTGGACAGAAACAGAAAGTCTGGGCAGAGCTAGAATGGGAGGGCTTGCAGAGGCTGCAGACAAGAGATCTGCAGCTTTTACAAGCTGTTTTTAGATATACCCCCAATGAAAAAAAAAATGCATAATGAAATGGAAACATGGTTTCATTGGGGATATATCTACTAAACAGTGATTTTAGTTTTATATTATTTGGGCAGTGGAGTGTCCCTTTAAATGAACACTTAATGCACCATAACCACTACAGCACACTTTGGTGGTAATGCTGATTGGAAGGTTCTTTTAATATATATATATATATATTACTCTTGCATTCTCTAATTGTGTATTTATTTAATTTTAAATTAAGAGTCACATTTAAAAGTAAGGAGAAGAAAGAGTTTTATAAATTTTCAGTACAATTATTAATTAAAGCTTAAAATGTATTCTAGAACATATTAAAAACAAAGGAGGTAATAAAATAGAAACATAGAAACATAGAATGTGACGGCAGATAAGAACCATTCGGCCCATCTAGTCTGCCCAATTTTCTAAATACTTTCATTAGTCCCTAGTCCTTATCTTATAGTTAGGATAGCCTTATGCCTATCCCACGCATGCTTAAACTCCTTTACTGTGTTAACCTCTACCACTTCAGCTGGAAGGCTATTCCATGCATCCACTACCCTCTCAGTAAAGTAATACTTCCTGATATTATTTTTAAACCTTTGTCCCTCTAATTTAAGACTATGTCCTCTTGTTGTGGTAGTTTTTCTTCTTTTAAATATAGTCTCCTCCTTTACTGTGTTGATTCCCTTTATATATTTAAATGTTTCTATCATATCCCCCCTGTCTCGTCTTTCCTCCAAGCTATACATGTTAAGATCCTTTAACCTTTCCTGGTAAGTTTTATCCCGCAATCCATGAACCAGTTTAGTAGCCCTTCTCTGAACCCTCTCTAAGGTATCAATATCCTTCTGAAGATACGGTCTCCAGTACTGTGTACAATACTCCAAGTGAGGTCTCACCAGTGTTCTGTACAATGGCATGAGCACTTCCCTCTTTCTACTGCTAATACCTCTCCCTATACAACCAAGCATTCTGCTAGCATTTACTGCTGCTCTA